CAGGTCCAGCACCACGGCTTGAGCTTGCTGGTGTGGAGTGTGTCACTGAGCCAGCTCCTCCTGGCCAGGGGTGCTGGGCACTCACCTGCTAATAAAGAATAACTACAGTGCTCCCATGGTGGCTCCTGCCTTCGGACAGGGGCTCCTCATCAGGAGGCAGGGAAGGTAAGTATCTAACAGCAATGCTAAGTCAAAGTTAACATCTCTGACTGGGGGGTCCTGGGATGCTCCCACTGGGGAGGGGGTGTTCAGGGCATTTTTGGGGAGGAGAGGCTGCTGCTGGGCAGGAGTGGTGGCTGCAGCTCCAGGGGATGTGGCAGCAGGTCCTGGGGACGTGCTGGTGGCTCCGCTCTCCGCAGGGCAGGGCAGGGCACTTGCCACCGATGTAAATGGGCCCCGGGAAGGTTTCTTTTGACCCAGCGTGTCTCAAGAGCTCTTCAGCATGAACAGGATCAGGAACCACTTAAGTCGCATTCATTATGTTTAAGTATTTATGAGCTGATAAATATTAAACAGCCGCTCTCTGGGGTTCAAGCCTGAGTGAACCGATCAAAACACGATGCACGCGATGGCCGTGGCCGTGCCGCTGGGGCAGCCAGGGCCACGGGATGTGCTGCACCAGGGACAGCTTCACACTCCTGCCAATGGGCAACGGGTGTCTCTTGGCACCTCCTGGCACAGCCAGTGCCCTGTGCCCGTGCTACTGGCTTTGCTGGTGGGGCAGGAAGCCCATGGGTCACCCCAACAGCCTGCCCATGGAGATGCCCAGCCCCACAGCAGGGTCCGGCTGCCTGCAGGGCAGCACTGTGTCCCCCACACTCCAGCTCCAGTTCTGGCACCTTGTTCCCACAGCCCTCCTCTGCTGGGTCCAGCACGTTGAACCTGGCACACACATTAATCAGGTCAGCAAGAGGTCCCCTTGTCCCCCTGTCTTTGGACACTTTCATCAAGGCTTTGCAGTACGCCCTTAGCAATGGTATCCATCACCCTTTACAAAGAAATAATTGCCTTAAGTCACTTACCTTCCAACCCAGTAAAAATTATACAGTAGTCGTTACAATTTACATGCTGGCTTATAAAGTTCACACTTAAAGAAAGTGTTTTCCTCCCGAGCGTTACAGATGTTTAATGGTGTGGGAGCCGCTCAGGGCAGCAGTTGGGTAAATGCAGGACAGACGTTTCACAAAGCCAGTTCCCTGTGATTGCAGCACCATGGGTTTTGCTCCTGCTCGGGGACATACCCAGTGTTTTGTGAGCAGATGTGAATGGTCACTGACCGCTGCGGTGGAAAAGCCCAATGTGCATCCCCTGACATCCTCTGGGGGTGTGGACATGGCCCTTCAGAAGGACCCTTCTGCTCCCCAGAGGTGATGCTGACAATCCTGGCATGTTGAGCACTGCTGCTAACCCCTGCCCACCAGGGAGGCAGTGCCAGAGCCCATGCCCTGAGTGGCTGGAAACCATCCTCTTCTTTAGGCATTGCCAAACACACCATGGCCAGACCTGGAGCCAGTCCCACCCTTTCACCCAACAGCTCTCCTCCCTTCCTGACCATGGCCCTGCGTGCCTTGGCCAGATCTCACAGTGCTCATGAAGCCAGAGGTCTGAGCAGATTTAGCCACTGGGAGGGGATTAGTCCGGTTAAGCCGGTCTGCTTGAAATCACACCATTGCGTCTGGTAGCACCTGCTGACGTTTTGGGGCTCTTGGGGGGGGAGGCCAGTGACGCATCCTGGTGCTCACTGAGCCCCTTTGTGCTCGGAGAGTGGTGGCCAAAGCAGGACCTGTGCTCAGTAGATGTCTTGCTCCTTTGCAATGTGGATGCAAGCAGCTCTCCTGAGGCAAGGGCAGTGCCACCGTCCTGCACACCTGCTCTGCCTGTCCCCTGGCTCTCAGCCTGCTCCCCTGGAGCCTCTGCTCTGGGGATCCCCTGCCTGTGTGGAGAATGGGGTGGCACGTGGCTTGGAGAAGCCAACAAGAGATGTTTTGGGCGGCGCTGGGCCCCCACGCTGGCTCCCATGGCCAGAGCGGTGTCTCTGGTCCCCCATGTCCCCTGGGCTGGGGCCATTCATGGCGGGGAGGACCCAGGCTGGGGAGTTCCCTTTGGCTGGCCCTCCTCTCAGCATCGGTGTCACCAAACCAGCACCGCTCGATGTCCTCACCAGCCCCCCCCACCCTGCCTCTTGAGAATGCAGATTGCCTGCTCCGAGGCTTTTTAAGCCACGTTTTAAGAGCTCCTAATGTGATAAGCATTTTCAGTACAGCCCTTCCTGAGCCCTCATTTGCTTACCCTTTGGAAATCTAATACTTGATTTAAGCACATTTCTGCTCCCTCTATTTGTAAGGACAAATGTAAAGTAATTGTTTGATATTGCAGCGGTTTCCTCAGGCTCCAGCTCTAATTTCCCACTAATACAGTATTGTCAGGGGGATCAATCTAACCCGGCACCTTCTGCCTCCTTGGAGTGGATTGCAAATGGCTTTTCTACTGCGAGGCTGGGATTTGTGAGTCTCGCTGTGAATGTTTTTCTCCTTTAAAGGAAAAATCATATAAGAAATTATCCCGTCTTCCTGTAGACCGCCGTTAATCCCCTGCTCTCCCACCGCCTGCCCACAGCTGGCTCTGGGTACCCTCACTGCTGGGTCCCCCCCCACGGTTCCTGTGCCTGCTGCTGGGTGATAGTGGAAGGGATGCAGACATGGACATTAGATGTCCATTAATTATCTCCAATTTTTTCCTATTAGAGCTTGCTGGACAGTAATCACTTCCAGTAAGGCCTCTCAGACGGGTCCGTGGTTGTGTTGCACCCCTGCACAGCCACCGTGCATTGCTCTGAAGCATCCCCCAGCCAGAGGACAGAGGGTGGCAGGGGCTGTGGCTCCCCACAGTCACCTGTCCCTTGGTCCTACCAGCATGGGTCTCTGGACAGACCAACAAATTGCCCAGGGTCTCCATCAGCCCCACGGCTGATTCCTTCCCAGGGAAACCTCCAGTGTGTGCAGGGAGCACCGGGATCATCCTGGTCCCAAACTGAACCCCTGGTCCCACCCAGCAGTGCCACCTTTCCTGGGCACTCATCACCACCTCCATGCTGGTGTGTCCCTGAGGTGCACAAAGCCAAATGGCCAATCTCCTCATTCTGTGTTTGCCTCGTGCAGCACCAGCAGAAAACATGGGTTTTGGAGTGAAACATGCCCATAAACCTGCTGCTGTGACCCACCAGCTCCGGGGGTGCCTTCATCCCCAACACTGCTGGGTGACACCATGTCCTCATGGGTCACAGACAGCCCCAGAGGATGCTACCCTTTTGTTGCTCTCCCCAGACATTGTCCCCATGACCCTGGTGCCACTGGAGGACAATTCTGAGCGGGGATGGCCAGGAATCACCCTGCTCTTCCAGCAGGTAGAGGGGGGCATAGGGATGGGGTTTTGTCCCTCTCCTGTCATATCCTGGGCTGTTCTGCCACCAAGCCCATGGGGATCTAACAGCCACCAGTGTCCCAAGCACTGGCCCCACCGTGGCACCCATGCTGTGCTGGCAAATGTCGTGGGAGCCTCCCAGACCCATCCAGCTTCTCCTGGGCTGCTCCCTGCGTCGGGGAGAGCCCAGTTTGTGCAGCCCCGGGGAGAGGCTGAAGGCTCGGGCCAAGATTTAGATGCTAGTGGTAAATTGCAACCTTTGACAGAAATGCCTGAGATTTACTACAAAAATCAATAGATGATTCAAACAGTCCAGCACTCGGAAAGGCAAATAACAGCACTTCAACAAGAGCCGTTATTGATATTCATGAACAGCGGTGCTCATTACGGGACCTGCTAACAGGTTTGGAAGATGGATTGCTGCAGGGTGGGATGGGGCTACGTGTGTGCATCCACAGAGCGGGCAGGCATCTGACGGGCTGCCTTGCTGCCTGCCTGTGCCAGTGTGGTCATGGGTGGCTCATCCCCGTGGCCAAGCCCTGGGGGGGGGGCTGTCTGGACCCCCCCGGCTTCCCCAGCTGCTCAGGAGGTGTTGATCAGGGAGCACAGCAGTGTTGATCAGGGAGCACAGTGATGCCTCCGAGCGCCCAAGGATGCAGCCCATCAATCTCAGCTCCAGGCAGGATGCTGAGCTGGGAGAATTCCTGCTCCCCAAACACGCCAGCAGTCAGAGGGCGGCTGGTCCTGAGACCACCTCAGCGAGGTGCTTTGTGGTGCAGGAGCAGTGTGGGGCTCACAGGAGGGGCAGTGACAGGGCTGACCCAGCTGGGATGAGGGGCACCTCCCTCCATGCTGCCAGACACTGCAGTGCTGCAGAGCTTGGCTGGGTTCAGGGACCAGAGCTGGGCTGGCGATGAGGGTGGAGATCAGGGACCCTCCTGCAGGGACCTGTGGGGACACCAGGGCTGGCACACCCTGTGCACCTCAAGACACATCCCCAATGTGCAGCTGCAGGTGCTGCAGCGGCTGCTCTGGTTCATGCAGCTGTGGCAGGCAGGAGGGGAGGTGGCAGTCTGGGCTGCCTGTCCCTGCCTGGGATTGGCACCTCCACCGGGGTTGGCTGCAGCCCCCGAGGTGGTAAATCAACGGACCACCGTGACTAATGCTGCAGGAGGTGTGCACAGGCCAGGGGGGGACATCTAGCAAAGCATGCAGCACTTGACATTTCAGTATAATTGTGGGCTCCTCTAGAACAGCCCGTTAAGTTCAACCATAAATTACTGCTGCTTGCGTCTCAGGCAGCCCGTCCCCCTCCCCACACCTGCCAGGAGGTGGCACGAACCCCGAGGTTCTCCACCACTCCTGAGTGGTGCCATCACCCCTGTGAAGGGCTCTGCCACAGGTCCCCTCCTCGCTGTGGGGGGTTGATCTGCTGTCCTGCCCAAACCCTACGCCCACCACCTCACCTGCCCCAGGGGAACAGAGGGGCTTTGCACAGCCCCTGGCAGCGCTGCAGGGGCAGCGGGTGCAGCAACAGGCTGCCCAGCCTCCCCCTAAGAAAAGCCCATGCATACGGACCAGTGGTAGCCGCTTTTATTTACACAAAGGGATCACATGCTGGACAAGGAAACTAGTGCCACTAAAGTACCCGTAACAGCAGGATTCTGTGCTTTATTCACAGGACAAAATATCGGTACAACATTTTTCATAGACTTCTTTTTCAAGCAGATACATCTCACTGTCCTCATGGTTACACACTGCGCTTAAGTGACGAAAGGCAAAGCGGCGCGGCCGGAGCTCTGCCCACCCCAGCACTGTGATGGGATTTGGCCCCACAGGGACAGCCCCACGGCCGCTGCCCACAGTCAGGGGTGTCCAGGAGTGCCCCTTTGCTTTGGGACAAAGAGGAGGGATGTGCCTTGGAGCAGGATGGGGCCATCACCATGGCCCCGGTGACCCTGTGGCAGTATAAGCAAATGGGACCCCACGGAGCAAGCCATGGCACTGCTGACCTGCTGGGATGGGCAGTGCCTGCTGGGCACTCAACCCTTAGTGGCTGCGGCAAGACTTTGTGTCTTCCCCCGTCTCGGCTCGTCCTGGAACATCCTGGCTTCCCGAGGGCCAGGGAAGACCCTCGCCTGCCTCTGCTCATGGATTCTGGGCAGGACAGGCTCGCTGGAGGCTCCCCCTCCAGCCTCCCTGGGCCCCCCTCACGGATGACTGCAGCCTCACATCACCGCAGCTCTGCTCCCGGGACACTTATTCCCACCTGAAGTCCTGCCCGACTGTTTCATAGAATTTGATATTATAAGGTCTATAAAAGTCCCGAAGCTGCTCGATCACCTCAGGGTCTATCTGCACATGAGTCCTGCCTTTGGACTTGCCCAGGCAGCGAGGCAAGCCGCTGCTCTCCGACTTTTTCAGGCAAGGAAAGCCTTTTGTCTTGTTGAAGTAGAAGTGCTTGTCCGTGATAACCCGTTTGATGCCCAGGAAGTCCTGGACTTTGCCCATCTCCCCGGCTGGGTCCGTGATCAGCTTTTCCCCACTGACAAAGTGGATCTGGGAGAGGGGGAAGTACTGGAGCCAGCTCTCCAGGTGCACGGCGTACATCCCAATGCGGATGGCATTCCAGGACGTGTCCACCAGTCCCAGGCTGCGGTTGCGGAAGGACAGTCCCTCAAAGGTGGGGATGTCTGGCTTCTTGGAGAGCGTTTGTGTGTAGTCCGAGATGGCCCGGGTGACCGGGTTCCTCACCACCACAATCAGCTTTATGTCCCGGGACATGTTGAAGATCCGCCGTGGTGCCTCCTTGGTGACGAAGTAGCTGGGAGTCTTCTCCACCGTGATCTGGCTGTCGAGTGTTCGCGGCATCAGGCTCCTGCAAGAGAAGCAGAAGGTGATGGTGAGGAAGGAGCCCGGCCAGGCACAGCACCAGGAGGTGGTTTATGCAGTGTGGAGACCACCACCCACCCAGATGGTGGGGTGTCCCCTCCCAGCAGGACAAGGCAGGACAAGGCAAGCACAGTTCCATCCTGCAGCGCTGCAGAGAGCCCCTGGCCATGGCCATCTCCTGGGGACACCCGTGCAGAGGATGGGGCCACTGGTAGCCCCGCTGGCACAGCAGCAAGCAGAGATGCCCAGCTCCCGGGGAGGGCAGAGCCAGGCAGGACGGAGGGCAAGGGCACGGCCAGACTACTGGGGACCTCGGGGCTGTGTGGCAGCTGGGGCTGCTCTGTCTCCTTCGGTGGTAAAGTCTTTATCATTGAAAGGGAAGCACCTGAGCTCAGCCTGCAGCTGGGAAGGGCAGCAAGGTCCTGCCACCCGCCCCACTCGCTGGCACGGACCCGTTACCCAGCAGGCAACTTCTGCTGGAGCCTGTGCTCAGCCTTTCATCCCCCATTCCTACCCCAGTTGCCATTTGCAGAAGAAATTACAGCGGCTCCTTCCGGAATTACTGCAATTACGCGGCGTCTCTCCTCCCCAATTACATTACGGTGCCCCCCGGCTCCCACGCGCCCTGTGCTCTGGCACCACAGCGAGCACCGTGCCAGGGCTGAGGAAGGGTGCCAGCCCCACAGCGTGCCAGCCTCCGGCACCCAGAGAGAGGGCAGCCCCCCCATCCTTCCACCTTCATCCTGGAGACAGGCAGGACACCAGTGCCACCCGCACGCAACCCTTGTGACCAGGGATGGCAAAGGCTGCTGGGGCCAGGATGCAGGAGCGTGGTGGCTGTGAGATGCCACCACCCCCGAGAAGCCATGGGGAATGATGGCTTCATCTCTGGGTGCTGTGCTGCTCTTCTGGTGGGAGCAGCGAGCTAGGGGCTTCCCAGGGATGTGGGGCTCACACCCCCATGAGGGTATCACCCACCCTGCCAGGGCTTGCTCAGGCTCTGAGATGGCATCCTCCGTACACCCGTCTGTTTCTGGCACGGGCTGCAAGGCCAGGGAGGGAACATCAGACCAGGGGAAAATGTAACATCCCTGCAGCCCAGCTTAGCACTAATTAAATCATTTGCTTTGACATGTGAACATCCAAATCAAATAAAAACTAATGGGATGGAAAGATTTATAAATTGGTCTTGTATTACTAGAGTAAACTATCAAATCCATGGCAATCAGATTCGTGGCGCCGCGGGTGCTCTGGCTGGAGAGGGCAGGGAGCGGGCAGGGAGCCACCCCCACAGCTCTGGGCACACAGCAGCATTCCAGCAGCAGTGCCACAGTGAGTCCAGTGCCTGCTTTGGGGCCACTTTCCCCCTGCCCCGGGTCCTCCAGGAGGGGTGCAGGCTGGAAAGGCACCTTCTATTGCAATTACATTCATTGCTCAGAAGCATCTGTCACTTTTTTTTTTTTTCTACTTTGCAGCACAAGTCCTTGTCTCATGAACTCACTGACTTGGATTCAGCTGTGCAGCAGAAGGCAGGCGGGGAGGCACAGGCAGGCGCTGCCTGGGGAGAGTTTTATGGAAAAGTGTGAAAAGTGCCCCCAGGAGTGGTTTTTTTTTTTATTATTATTTTCTAAAACAGAGCCTGCATGTTTAACTCAAGACGCCCACATGTGCCTAGCACACAGCAGCACACTGGCTGCCCACGGGCCACCCAGCCATAGGGACCCCAGGGAGTGTCCCCAAGTCAGTCCTCTCCCACTGCATCTTTCCCGGGGTGCAGCAGGGCTCTTCCAAAAGGAGGGGACAAGCTCAGCTGGATCGCTCCCCTCCCAGACCCAGGGAGGTGCTTCAGTGCCCAGCAAGCACCTTACGGTGAGGGGGACCGGGCAGCGAGGATGCTGCCCTCCAGTCTCACCAACACCTTGGCAGCCCCACGACCACCCCACTGCAGCTACTGTGGGGAGCAGATGTGTTGTTAACTCAGCTCATGGAGCTCCCTGTGAGCTCCTCAGCCCCCCACAACACCCATTCCCTACACGAGTATGCCCGGATGAAGCACTGCAGCGGGTGCTCACCCCTGCCAGGGGAGCAGGGAAGGATGCTGGGGAGGAGCTGGTACACCACGTTAATAGAGTGGGAGCTCTGGACGTGCGGGTAACCCAGCGAGGCCTCGGGACAGAAGCAATCAGGGAACGCAAACATCAGCAACCCTGTCTGCAGCAATTCAGCTGGCGAGAGCGAGGCACTGATTTATTCATGGGCTAAACCCTGCACACACACCACAGCCACACTGCAACACGAGTGTTTCCAAGAGTCTGGTGACAGACACCTCCAGGGAAGCCAGCAGTCACTGCAGGGTCCCTAAACCAAGGTCCACAGCCACCAGCTTTGGAGCTCACTCTGTAGAGAGAAACCTGATGAAAGACTGAACTGGGAGGAGATAGAACAACAGCCCATGACCTTCTGCATGGCAAGGGGACCACAATGGAAGGCTCCGTAGAGAAAAACCTGATGAAAGACCGAACTGGGAGGAGATACAACAGCCCATGATCTTCTGCATGGCAAGGGGACCACAATGGAAGAACCAGAGCATCGCAGAGGTTGATGTGTTGAGGATGTGGGTGGTGGGTCTCCAGTGGACCTGGGATACTCCCTGTGTAGGTGATGTGGGGACAAGACAAGACCATAGTCCAGGGGGACCAAACGAGCAGGTGGAAGAGACCCGTGGAGAGACACTGAAGAGATGTGCCCAGAGGTCTGTGTCAGGCTGCTGGGGAGCTACAGGAGATGATGGCCGAGGTTGGCCTCACTCCCCCCAGTGCTGGCACAGGGCCGTGGTCCCCGTGCCCCACATGGCCCCAGAGCTGCTGGGCCACTGCCCCCTTGGCGAGGAGACAGGGGCTGCCTGTCCTGGGGCAGCAGGGCAGCCAGCCCACGCACCCTCACGCACTCCTGACCGGCTTCCTCATTGAAAGAGAACAAACTAATCAGCTAGCATAAATTAACAGGGATGTTTTACAGAGGTACCTGAGCACAGACATGGCTTAATTGGCCTTTCCCACTGCTCTGCTTCAAACCCCATAAATCCAGATTATGATTCCCATTGTTTAATGACTATCAGGAAACGTTAATTTAGCGGCAGGCATCACTGCCGTATCTCTGTATCACAAACAAGTTTCATCATAAATCAGTGCAGGACAGCTTTATAAGTGATTCACTATTACAATATATTGGTGGAGAACCATAAAACTGCTGTTTCATTAATGGCTCATCTTCAGGCTTGTTAGACTTTCATTACGTGAGCTATTAGGTCCATGTATTCAAAAAATGAAATTACAGGTTCTAACCATTATGAAAAACACAAAATCTCTGCATAGTAAATTACTGAAATGAGACAAGAGTTGTTGTTTTTTAAATGGACTCCCAGTGTTTGCTGCTCCTGAACAACAGAGACTGCTGAGACAACAAAACACAACCCGAATAGATAAATAAATCACCAGTGAAACCATCCAAGGGGGAGAAATGTCATCCAGGCATTCATCTTTACGTTAACAGCAGGATCCCCAGAGCTGCAAGAGCAGGGAAATGCATTGTAAACTTAATTACAGTTGACTTTAAAATGATATTTTTGGACTTCTGCATTCAGAGTGTTATTTGCATACAAATAGCATGTCACATAGTTTTAAGCCCAAGACTCGCGTGTTTAGGTGTGAAGGCTCTCGGTAGTCGGTTTGCAGTGCCACACGGCCAGGGCTGAGGCAGGAGCCACTCCTGCTGCTCCAGGGACCCATCTTGGGAGCTTGTGACTCTGCTGAAGATCCCCAGCTGGCCTCGGCACCAGCTCCTGACACGCTGAGCGAGCTGCTGCCAGGCAGTGCCCAAGCTGATGCCAGCAGGTGATGGTGATGTACCGGCAACAAGGGATGGCTGGAGCACTCGCTGGGTGCAGAGGGAGAAACCAAGTTGACATTCTTGGGAGAGCCGCTGGGTGCCAAGGGATGGGCAGCAGCCACCTCCTCCAGTGCCAGGGACGAGGATGGTGCTGCTGGGAGGGACAGGGGGGCCTCCACCATGACCGTGCTAGATAATGGGTCCTCCCGTGATGGTCACCTCTTGTCGCAGGAGGGGCAGGGGGTGGCTTTGGTGGTCTGGGAGGACAGCGTGAGGCTGCTCCCCTCAGCTCCAGCCTTCTCCACAGTGTGACAGCACGGCCGACACTGGTGCTGCCAGTGCTCTCCCCACCAGCACAGCCAGGCTGGAGAAACACCGAGGCTTTCTCCATCCAGCAGAGGTGCACAAGCACTGCGTCCTGGTGATGGGAATCTGTGGTGTGGCAGAAATGGACGAGGTCAAAAACGCTGATGCTGAGCGAATAGCAGGGCAGCTCCCCACAGAAATCATTAGGGACGTAGCGGAGCAAACTCCAGCCTCGCAGCAATGCGTGGGCTGAAGAGCAGAGCAGCCTCTCCCTGCCCTGAACCTGGCTCTCTCCAACTGCCTGGAGGAGAAAAACCCCAAGGGAGGGTCCTGAACATGCCCAGCACTGCCCCAGCCCCGCTGCTCTCTGCAGAGGATGCTGTGCTTCACCCCAGCCCAGGCTCCCTGCCCAGGCAAAAGCTGCTGCACGTATCTATCTGCAGCTGTGAGAGGGCAGACACAGCCTTGGGAGGCGCAGGATGGGTCCCCAAGGAGGGAGAAGCCTTGGTGGGAGGTGTCGGAAGCTCTTCTAGCAGAAAGGGTGGGATGCAGTTTGCATCTTATTCACTGCAGATGCTGTTCAGCAGCCACAGAGTTTCCACATGGTTTCCTTTTCACTGCTCTTGCCAAGAAGACCAGTGCCCTGACCAACAGAGGCATTTAATTACTGGGGGCATCACAGCCCATCAGCCGGGGGCTGCAGGCACATGTGCTCCGTGGTGCCCCTTCAAACACTCCCCCAGTTCCAGGGGCTCCCACACATCAGGACTTGCTGGGCATAACGGGAGGAGC